TTCCTGGACAGGGAATTGTTCATTAAATATGAAGTACTGCATATTTAATCAGCTGACTAACCTGCGTCACTAAGGGCCTAAACTCTGTACTGCATCAAAGCACAACATTAAAAGGGACACTTGTCTATGTATTTGACACTGCTGACAAGTCTGCATATTTATAAACAACGAAGTTTACAAGGAAATGGTTTCTTTTCACCTTCTACTGTTGTATGCCAATAAACATACATCACAGCTTATCAGAGATTACTACAGCTCTACAAAAGACAAAGCAACCATCCCATTTCTGATGTCACCCCTCTGCAAGATGGAGGTTATTCCAGGAAAAAGCCCACATCCAAACAGCATCCCCTGAATGCATTTCTTTGCAAGACTAGAGCACATATGCGGTTAGCAAAACCTGGAATACTCAGTATGCACGTTTGTTCAGAAGGTGATAAAATTCCATAAATACTGCCTGATTAGTACCCAATTTTCTGATAGTTTTAACTGTTACTACTAATAGTATAAAAAGCCAAACTATACTGGTTTATTTTTATTCTGGTTTATTTACTCCCCTCTGTGGAGTGAGGAGAGTATCAGAAAGCCAGGGTCTCTGCCATCTGACCTAGGTGGCACCTCTGACATCTGTCCATAGGTGGCACCTGCACAATCCTGTGGTGTGATAGAACAGGAGGTTGACTACAAACCCATTAGTGTCTTTGCAGCTAACCAAATAACACCTCATCTGCTTGACTGAATCTGTAATCTTCAAGGACTTCATAAGTTCAATAAAAAAGTGAGCAACAGTGCAGAAGCACAATGGGTACCTGGTGGGAGAGCTACTGAGAGCCCTTGGAATAGAAAAGAACCTACACACCAAACACAAAGCTCTCTTGGGAGCAAAAAAACGGAAAAATAAAAGTAGCTCTGCTGTACAGCTCAGCTGTGGGAATATAAACCACAGAGAGGTGAGCAGTTTCTCCAACCTCCTGCTACTCTGGGGAATTGGGAGGAAAAAAAACCCCAAAACTAAATGGCCACCTTAAACTAGTCATTTCAAAATGCACCCACAATGAACAACTTTCCACTGCATTCTTTCATTAGCCTGCACAAAATAATGGCACCGAACAGAAGGCTTTACTGAATATTCCCAAACATGTCACTCACTTGATGATGCTGTCAGAAAGCACTAGACCCTCCAAGCTGAGGTTCTGCAGCTTTTCACACAGACAGAGAATACTGTGGAGGTCTGCAGCAGACACTGTGCAGTTTGACAAATCCAGGTGTTGAATTTTAAGAAGACTAACAAAAAAAGAGAAGGAGAAAGGTTACTAAAAGTGCATTAAAACATGCTCCATAAATTCCCCACATCACAAACATACCCCATACACTAAAAGCATGCACAATTTGCAGAAAATTTTTCTACTGATTCCTCATAACATCTGAAAGTTTATCCTGCTGGAGTTTAATGATTTTTTGAGTGTACCACATAAAAATGCTGCAGATGATGATAATTCAGGTCTCTACAAGAGAGAAACTGCAAGGGTGGTGCTTGATATTGAAAAAAAACATCACATCAACTTGGTTTTAAATAACTGACAGGTGACTGCAGATCCTCCTTTTTCAACACATGCCTAACCACTGATCAGCTCGTCCACACTCCAGACACAGCACAAACACTGCTGCTCATTGCTATTACCTTAAAACCAAAACCACGCAGACTGAATATCTGAGACAGTTTCAGGATTCAGAAGATGCAGAAAAAGCCTTACTTGCTTGTTTTAAACAACGGATCCCCAATGCAAGACCTCGGGCAGCGGAACACAGTAACGCCTGCAGGCAACAACTGTCCAAGCACTCCTGGCAGCAGATTCCCACCAGTCAAATCAAGAGTCTGCCAGAGAGATTCATCAAATCTGGGGGAATGAATATTACTTGTTAGTGAGTTCAAATGGGTAACAGGTCAAAGCTGTGGGTAGAACCACAGAAAGTTTCTGGTGTCAAAAACAGGCAGAGAAGGGAAAGCTATTAAACAGACTACAAGAATGTTAAAACATGTGAGGCATCTTTTGGTTATACATACCCACATATGGTCTAAATTGAACTATATATGTATAAATAAGATGAGAACCAGACCATTTAATGGTCTATGGAAACAAAGATTTTCCTTAGTACTGAATGAAGAGAAATAGCACTTACGAAAGTCGATGCCATCTCTTGCAAATCATAGAAACTTTCAGTAAATCCTTTAGGGGCAAATAGGCAAAGATTGCCAGAAGCAATTCATCTGGAAGTGCATCCAAAGAAATACCTTTAGGGAAAGAGCAAAGCACATTCTAGTTAAAGCTGGTTCATTTTTGCCTGCTGGTCAGATGCCTTGCTGGGTCTGGTTGTTAAAAGCCCCTCTATGGTTTCTCTGTAGGCTACACATCAGCCTACATCAGGCATCAGCCCCACTATTCATCTCCCGTGCAGCTCATCACTGCAGGATGACATTTTTACCATCTTTGCCTAGGCACAACTGGTAAATGCAAATGTTCCTGTAATAGTCACTGTATACACAGTAAGGCCATGGACACTACTCACATACTCACTTAGGGAACATGAGCATCTTAGTTACTGCCTTTGTTACCTAATGCTTGTATGATTCTCTGGGTTTTTTTCCCCCTCAGCCAAAATGCCTGCTCTTCCTATGCACACAAGGGTCCCAGAAGGGAACTCAAGGTAAGCTATGCTTCTGTGTGATACACAGAAAAGAATTAGGTACTACAAACTGCTTCCTAAAACACACATGCTATCACCACTCCAAGAATTATGTGAAACAATGTGGTACAAATCGCAGCTTCTCTCAGGGCCCCAGAAGGTGTCATGATTCACATGGGAGATTTCTGGATGGTGGAGCTCAGTAACAGCTGCCCTTGACCCAGCACTGCATCTTACATAGAAACAGGAATGTCTGAAGGCGCTTCCACCTTCTGTATGACAGCATAATGTCTGGAGAGAGCTGCTTATTTATTTTGCATCCCATACTCATCCAGACTAAAACCACATTTTGACACCAGGGAAAGGAACCCAGTATCCTATGACATCCCTTTCAAGAGTCCAAGAGCCCTGCTCTCTCCCTTTCCAGCCCTGCAGGCTTCCAGCCTCTGATGTGCTTTCCCTGTAGCTCTCTGGCACAGTCCCTCACGTTGCTTGCTTCCATCAGGAGCTGGAACACTGCTGGCACACCTCAGCCTGCACTCTTTACCTACCCTTCTCCTCCTGCCTCCAAACCGGTAATTTTTGGATTGACTTTGGTTTTAAACTGATTGATTTTAGCTTATTTTTTCTCTGTGTGCTTTAACCATCTGGTAACTAGAGTGAATGTTGCCGACAAACCTTTTCATTAAACCTACTTTTGCTGCCTATTCTTTGAGCGACCTTAAAACATTGATTCACAACACAGCCCTGCTGGTTCAAAGTGCCACCTGTGTCCCACAGACAAGAGCAAAAAAGCACAGGCACATGCAGGACAACCCCCCAGCACGCACACACACATATACAGGTGCTCATGGGGTCAGGCAGCAGAGAACCATGGTTTTAACAGATTACAATTCTGGAGCCAGACACACCACCTCGGCTTAAAGGCACACATAAAAGAGGATTTATCACCCCAAGCCTGAAAGCCACTAGATCTAAAAGTGCCATTCTGCTGGGTAAGAGCAAAAGAACTAAACACTAAAGCAGGGTGGACTTGTGATGCCCACTCTCCATCTCTACCAAAGGGCAAGCAGAACCTAGGACAGGGGGACAGTACCTGACTCTGCCTCTCGGAGCAGCCATGGCCGGCGCACGATAACAAAGTCCTTTTCGTTGTCCTTCACCTTCTGCCTTTTTGGAGGAAGACAGGGTGACGACACCAGCAGGTCCTGTGGTGTGTTTTCATTACCCAGCTTGTCTTTCTTAAGGGCCGACACTCCCATACCCGAGAGAAGCTCCGAGGTCTTGCCGGGGTCCCATTCCAAGCTGGTCGAAACATTAGTGCTAGAGGATGGGATCTCCTGGAGGTGCTTTCTGCAGACACAGCAAAACCCAGAGGCTCTGAGGGTACTGCCAGACTTACACCAAACACAGGATGGGGATCCTTGAAGCATTTCAGTCACTCGCACGCCACATCCATACACATGGCGACTAAGTGCGGGATCTGCGGGCGCTGGAAGCACAAGCAGCGGCCACAGCGCAGGCGTGTGCTCGCTCTGGCAGGCTTTGGGGAAGAGCCCGCCAGGGATCGAGCGCGCCCCGCTCCCGGATGGGGCGGGCGAGGGGCCGGGGAGCGGGGCCAATGGAGGCGGCGGGACACGGCAGCCTCCCAACACCACCGAACCCGGACACGGCCGCGACGGCACCGGGCAGGACCCGCGCACGGCGGGGCGGCAGCGCGGGCAGCGGGACGGGATGCCCGGGCAGGCGGCGGAAGCTTTCCCCGAGGCCGGGAGAGAGGCGGCCCGGGGACCCCGGGGATCCCGCATCCCCGCCAGTCTCAAGGGCAGAACCCCCGCTCCCCCGGGAGCACCCGCGGGGCCGCACACACACCTTCGATCCCGGCACCGCTCCCACAGCCAGGAGCTCCCTCCCGCTCCCCCGGGTTCCACGGCCGCTCCCGAGGCTCCCCCGCGCGGCGCCTCAGCCATCCCCGCATAGCCGGGCCGCCCAAGGGGATCTGCGAGGGCTCACACGCAGCCCCGGCGCCACGCGGCTCCCGCGCAGCCCAGCAGCGGTACTCATATGCCCGTATCCCGGCGCATTCCCGGGTCCCCGTGCCCCGGTGTTCCCGCGTCCCGGCGCTCCCGTACCTGTACATGGCGCTGGGAGGCCCACGCGCGCCGCCGCGCGCCCCGCGCCTTTCAGCACCGCGCCATCCCGGCGCCGGCCGGAAACCGCAGTGGGGGGGGGAATCGCAGAGGCTGCTGGGAGCTGTAGTTCGCAGTCCTGTGCCCGCCCGGAGGCGGGGCCGTGCCGGGCCGGCGGGCGGCGAATGGCGGCGGCTCCGACGCGGAAGGAGCCGGGAGCGGCGGCCGCTCCTTGCGCCACGCTCTGAGCCCGGTGCCGGCCGGGATGGCGGGCGGCGGAGGCCCGCGGGGGACGCGACGCTGAGCGGCGGCTCGGCCGTGGTGAGACGGCGGCGGGCGGGACGCAGGGCCGGGCGGAGCGGGGCCGCAGTGCCGAGTCACGGCCGGGCCGTTCTCCTGAGCGGAGATGGGAGCCGGGTGGGAAGCGGCAGCCCCCGGGCGCGTCCCCGGTGACAAGGGCGCGGGGGGAAGGGTGGTCGCGGGGCCGTGCTGGGCGAGGGCGCATTCGTTTCCAGGCTCTTATCCCGGGCACTGCCCGCCCGTCAGGGACCCCGGGCACGTAGCGCGGGGCGGTGCTGGCTCCGTGTCCCTGGAGCTGCTCGGTGCTGTGCCGCACAGGCCTGGCGCCGGGGAGCGCTGGCACATTCCAGCGTGGAAGGTTTTCTCTGGGAACACCTGAAGCTGCCCGTGTGTGGCTGATCCTGACCCTCACCGTGCTTATTCCAACCCCGCAGTCTTTTCACACCTTGTTTCACAGCCCGCGGGACTTTCAGCAATGCAGCTCTTCCTGCGTTTTTTTTCTCCCCGAACTGCTTGTTTTGAAATTGGTGGGGATGGAGAACTAGGTCTGAACACACCTACAGCCCCGCTATTAGTCAACCTCTTGCTTGCAAATGCTGTCCTTTGTTTACTGCATAACGATGGAGAGACGCGCCTGTGAAATTGAGGGTGGTAATGGAGCCCGTAGCAAAGAGTACACAGCTTTCGGTCACGTACAGAGAATGAGGTGACTCAAATTAACATCCATGTAATCTTTTAAAAAGTATCCTTTAAACGTTTCCAGTTTTAGCTTAAGTCACGGAACAGTTGTTCAAAGATTATTTAAGCAGAAAATCAGATGAAAAAGAGGTGGAGTTTTGGTTTAAAAAAAAATCTGAGTTTATTTCACCTTTTCTGCAGCCCCTCTTTTCGCTGCGAATCATGTCACTCTTCTTCATTAATGCATGGGTAATCAAAAGATGGTTTTGTGGAAAATGCCAGTGTTTTTTACAGTCTGGAAATTAACAAATAGTGTGTTTATCTGAATGCAGTGTTGGGGCAGCAGTCATGTGACCGCCTTGCTGACACCTGCTTTGTGTCCGTGCATTAGTCTGGTAGCCCAGATAGTGATTTCTGTTCTTTTTTTAGATTCTGCATGCAACTGTACAGTGCTTGTATTTGATTCTGTTTCAGTTCCTCTGATAAGTGAGTTATTTTCTTATATGTGTTATTTTCAGCATACTTCCCTAAACTGTTTGAAAGCTTCAGCCTCTGTGGTATTTATTATATTAAAAATTGGACTCGATGATCTTGGAGATTTTTTGCAACCTTAAAGATTCTGTGATCCTTTGGTAGAGGACAACGCAGCACCATGTAAAACAAATAAGTTTGCTTGCATTTGAACGCAAAAATCTTAATGTTTCTTGGTCAAGCACTTGTCTTGCATTTAGTGCTACTGTATAGAACCTAGTCTCCTGCAAATTCAGAGAGTACTGCTATTTTGGGTGGTATCAGCACAGCATTTTATTTTTTTTAAATTAGAAGATAGAAAACTTGTTTCCCTAAACATCGAACTATTATGGATTAAATATCAATCGGTCCGTATCAATTAAATATTTAGCCAATTTAAAATTTTTCTTCATTACAAAATAGTTGTACTGACAGGTACTAATAAAGTGTCAGTCAGTACACAGACTGACGAGTGTGTCCTAGAAGAGCAAAGCCATGCAAATTGCTTTCTGCACTAATCTCAGACGTTGTTTCTCTCAAATAGTGCAATCAGATAATTTCTCTGGTTTTCTTGGGCAGTTTGTGGCTATTTTATTTCTTTAGATAGCTTTCTGACTGTGCAGAGATAAAGAACTCTTTGTTGTCTCTTTATAAATACTTACTATTTCCCCCAAGCTGTAAGGGCCAGTGTGTAGTAATAAAGTAAACAGAAAAACTCAAACCAGCCAAAGAAAAAAACCAAACAAAACCCACGATGCCCCCCCTCCCCTAAACCTGAAACCAACCTAAAAGAAACCCCCACAACACCCTATGCAGACTTGAATACTGAAATAGCTGAAGGGACTACTTGTGTCGTTTCTTTGCCTCTTGTTCTTCTCTGTTTATCAGTTCTGAAATAGTAAGTTAGCCCATTTTGTTGTTTTAAGAAGGAAGTATCAAGGATCCTTGGTGTGGGGCAGTTCTGTCAGTACTAAAGGCTGTAGTCTGCTCCTGCATGTCTGTAGAGCGAAGTCTTTCTTTATGACTCTTAGCAGCATAATTCTGCTGAGCAGGGCAGGCTTCAGAAACCAAACACTGGGTTTTTTTGCCAAGTGAAGTGTGCTAGTAATAAGAATATATAATAAGAACTAGCGGATTATTCTCTGACAGAAAGGCAGAAGGTCATCATTGAGCTGGCCATTGATATATTGCTGGAGATGGCAGCTTTTGTACTTGCAGGTGAGCTGGGAATTCAGCTTGAGGTGGCAGATGCTGTTGCCCAGATATATAATTTTTCTATGTTAAGGCTCTCAGTTCTGTTGCTAACTGTCTCTGATAATCCCTTTCATAGCTTGGTAGCTTTTTTGGTGACAGATTTTCTCCAGACAGATGCAGTTATGATCTTTAAAAATACAAAGTAAGTGTTCGGTTTTTCAGGTGTTTCAGCTGAAATATCCAAAATGTCTAGAAATGTAGCTTTTTCAAATTAATTTGATCTCTACCTGAGAATGCTTGAAGAATGATAAAAAAAGTCTTTAGTATTGTAGAAATGTCTGGGGTACCAGACAGGAAAACCAGAAGCATGGTGGCTGTCTTTAGTAGTAATCTTTGAAGGACAGGCGGAGCTACAGATAGGCAGATTCCTCTTCTTTTTGAATTCCTGAAAAAAAATTTGGTGCTAAAGCTATTTGTTAGTACATAGAATATAATAGGTGAGTAAAAGACAGCATCAGTTTGTCAAGGACAAATAGTTGAAGTTATCTAATCTATTTAAGTAATGACTTAATATGACTTGTATACAAGAGGATCAGTTTATAATCTTATATATTGCTTAGTAGGACTTTGATTGTTCCTTAGGATGTTTTTCCTTGGGAAGCAAAGCTGGGAAGAGCCACTATTGTGGCTGAGGAGGCCATTCCCTTGTCAAATACTTCTAATGGTTTTCAGAGTTCCCCTAATGAAATAGTACGGTGATTAAAACTATAGAAGGCACAAAACTACCAGAGATTTCAGGTCTTTCTGAAAGTGGTAGTGTAAATCAAAATACCTTAAAGATTTGGAAACTTGCGAGGGGGGGAAACGGATACAGCTGAGCAGAGTTTTGTTCCTGTGTTAAGCAGGAGCAATCAACCACAGAAATACAGGATAGAGAAGTAGTGTTGTGTTTCCTGGAGGGAAAGAATTTGGAGGCCGTAAGAAAGCTGAATTTGTGAAGGAAACATCCTATTCCTATTTATACTTTTTAGTAAGGCATGTGAAGCAGTGTTTAACATCTGTTCAGGCCTCCCCAGGTGTTTTGTTGGGAGACTGGTGGAATCCTTCACAGATATTTACTCTTTCTAGCCCTTCTTTAGGACTATAGTACTGAGGTGTCTTTGGTAAATTTGGTGCTGCATTAAAGCTCTAACAAAGTATGGGGTTTTTCATTCTCTGCTGTTTCATTTAGTAACCTGAGATTTTTGTACCAGGCAGAGTAGTTCATTTGTAATGTAGATGTTGTGAGCGCAGTTACTCTCAGGTTGGCAGGGTAATTTAATACTGTTGATATTAGGGAGTCTGTCATATAAAAGGAATTAAGCCTGAACTGAGCCCTTTATGATGCATGTAGTGTTAGTAGCTGGGTAAAATTAAGAACTTAGCTGATTTTGTCTGTGTCTGAAAAGAAGCAGGAAAATCCTAAGCCAACACAAGAGCATGTCCTTATGTTTTATTGGTTAAGTTGCACTTCTCGTGCCAGTGTTTCAGCTTTTAATCTTATTTGTATTAATCTGTAGTTGCGTGGTTGTTCAGAAGCTGAGTATGCCCATAAATACTTCTCCATTCACGGTGAGGGCTCTTGTTACTTTGCCGTTGCTTTAATAGGAGCATCCTCTAAGCCACTGAAGGTTGTACAGCACTAGAGAACCCTCCTGAAGTGGTTATTTCAGGACAAGATTTTTTTTAGTGATTCTGGAATTCCAGTCAGCTGATACTAGGTAGCTGTATGCCAATAGTGAGATGGCTGTCTAAATAAAGTGATGGAGCAGGATGATAGGTAAGAAGCTTACCTTTCTTTGAGCTAACAACCAGGTTCAGTGGCAAGTGCTGCTTTCCACAGGAAGGCATGGCTTTATAGCCTGCAGTAATGTGTTTTAAGGCCTGATTCTAGTAGTACAGGTCTAGATATGTCTGCACTGTTGAGTTGGACTTAGTTTATCAGAAGAGCTCCTCTCAAGCATTGCATTTCTCACTTTGTAGAGTTTCTTCTGTTTAATCTTTCTATGTGGAGAGCTGGTTTTAAATAATTTATATCTAAAAATTTTAAACTGTTATTTTGAAAATGTGTATACAGTAATTCAAAACAACTCTGTTATTAGTCTCAGTCTTTTGAAAAAACAGGCCTTTCTTTTTGTGTTTTGAGATTAAAATAGGAACCAGAGAAGAACATAAAGATGTAGTTTACTGATAAGTGCAAAGTCACTTCTGTCTTTGAAAATTATTTAAGTTGTGGTAGGAATCAATTCCTTCTTTATTTTAGCATATTGAGTACATTTTTATAATACTTCTGCTGGTACCCTTGTGATAGTAGCTGAGTGCAGCATCTTGCACAAAAACTTTTTACCTTGTGTTTTGGTAGAAGCTTTTTAGGTGTGACTGTAATAAAACTTTGTGACTAATGAAGTGCATGCTGTATAATTTTTTTGTTTTACATAGCAAAAGGTGTGGCTGTAATGGGCACGAAAAGCTGCATGCCAGATAGCAGTGCCTTAATGAAGCTGATTCGTAATTGTTTTGTTATTTTTGCTTCTCTGGAATTGGCTGCTATACTGTAAATTGAAAAGACTTTTCTGAGGAAGCAATAATGGTACAATAGAACAGTCAAGAACTTGCTTTGAATAAGTAATTGAGAAATAGGTGAGATATCCTGAGTTTTTAATGTACAAATTATTCAGCTAAAGTAGAGTACAGAAAGATAGTAAGGGGGTGATTTGTCCTAATGGAAGTGTTGATAGTTTGATAAACATGTTTAATGAAAGGCAGAAAAGAGAAAGTGCGTGAATCTTTGACAAGAAACAAGAAGGTAACTTGCTAGGGAGAAAAAAGGAGTCACAGAATAATTGTTCCTTTTTGTCCTCAAGGTAGTAATGGCATCACAAACTTTAGAGGTTTTTTAGTGTAAATAAGAGAGTTTTCCCTACATAGTGCCCTGAAGCTTAATAGAGCTGCTTAAGCAGTTTACTGAGAAATTAGTAGAAGAAATGCTTCACTTTACCAAGTTCTAAAGAGATTTAAAAATAAGTAGAGGGGAATTTCAGTAATAGCATTTCTTTTAGATCTCCAGGAAAGTGAAAGTACTGGAAGTCTTAACAGCAATGCCATAGCAAAAACTATTTCTCTTAAATCAAATCAGCGAAATGTCAATCTTGATGGAGAGACAAGTCGGACTGGCCAGAGTAATAAACTTTTTTTTTTAATAATGCATAAAATGCCTGTGATAAAATGATGCTTATTCAAAAGGTCTGAAGCAGTTTAAATAAAAATGTAGCAAGTCAGTGAAATTTTCTGTAGTGGATTTGTGCAGCTCACTGTCCATTTGTATCATAGCTTGTCTGTATGAAGCAATATGAACTTTCTTACAGCAGTCCTGACTGTAACAGAGTAAGTAAACACAGAAGGACAAGCAAAGGAAAAATACGTTATGGCGAACTATACCAAATGAATTGAGACCCTTGTTTCTCTGAATAGCACCGGAGGAGTAGGAAGGTGAATTGAAATTCTTGAAATTTCAAACCTCAAAGAGGTGCAATCCAAGTAGACTAACACATTTGTTGCTGCATTTTTATGCTCTATTAACTCTTACGTATAGATTTTAAATATGTATTTGAGGTACACTGCATTAAAATGTTGTTCATTAGCTATCCAGAAATACTTGATTTAAATATTTAACCCTTTGTAGAAATTAGTTGATTGCTTCTAAAAGGAGAAATAAAGAGCAGAATAGATTTTCATCTTGAAATTTGTCCTGGACCTAGAGTTGGGCTAGTAGTGTATTTAAGGACAGAGATTTGCCTCCTGGATCTATTGTATATCAACATGATGACCAGGAGTTTCTCTAATATGTTGCTGGAAATAACAGCATTGGAATGACATGTTTTGTTTTCTTCAGAGGGCTTCAGGGCACCTTGCTGAAAATCTTTGGTTTTGTCTGATAAGAATCCTGGTCATGTGAAGTATGAAAAGTTGGTTAACATGTTCAAAGTGTCCATTGAACAACTCTTCTGTGTAAATATCTTCCAGAGGTTTTAATGTAATTGAATTTCTTTTTGTCTTGCAGTTTTGATCTGCTTTCCCAAGTGCTTGTGGTGTGGCTGGGGCCAACATTTAACAATGAGTGGTGCAGCGTTGGGCCTCGAGATAGTGTTTGTCTTTTTCCTGGCCTTATTCCTACTTCACCGGTATGGAGACTTCAGGAAACAGCACAGGCTGGTGATCATAGCAACATTATTGGCTTGGTATCTCTGCTTCCTGATTGTGTTCATACTGCCTCTGGATGTCAGTACGGTAAGAAACGTGCAGGACTTCCGGCTTAATTGCGTCAAATGTTTCTGGTATTTCTCTGAAGTAGTGATTGCGGGAGACCATCTCTCAGAAACACCAAAGAAATCTTCCATGTAGTATCTTAATAAATTAAACATGACAATGCCTTGTGTTCATAATTAATTTCACTTTTTGTTGGTCTCATCAGATAACAAATCTATTTTGAACATTTAAAATTTCATCATTTGTTTGTAACAATTTTTTTATCTGTTTAGGCAGCATAAGGACATTGTCAGCATTTTACTTACTTGACTGCTGATTGTATGTTGATTTGAATGTTTATTGGTATAATTCATTTCAAATGTAAACCTGGAGTACAGGAAATGTTTTTAAAATCAGACTTACTACTTTTAAATAAGTATTTTACCTCTTTGATCACTTATATAAATTGTCTTTTAGACTATCTACAATCGATGCAAGCTTGCGGTTAACTCCAGTCCTGCAGAAAGTAATGGCTCTTACGTTACTCTTGCTCCAAGGTATGAACTACATGTTTTTTTCTTTAGACTGTATTTTATTATTTTCTTTTTTTAATTGATAGCATATTGTGTTTTTAATACTGATGAATAACTATTATCTGTGTGATGAAAATTTTGAAGTTTGTAAATACACAGGACAGTGAAAGAAAAGGTGATGAAAGCTGGATCTTTATCTACTGAGAATAATTACATAGTAATTATTTAGTAGTTCTAGGTGATTACCCAACTATTCTTTTTTAATGTCACTAGATTTCCTTTTTCTTATTAAGGCAACAGGACTAAGCTTTTTGAGTAATCCTGGTTATAAGGAGAGGCTTTGATGAATGCTTGCCCTTTACGATCTTAAAGACTTTAAACCTGAAAATCTAATTTTATACCATATGGATGAAATCAGCTGCTTGTCTTATATGTCAGGGACATATCTAATTGTTTCTTATAATTACTTATATATGGTAATTGCATTTATCTGAAATGTGCTGCATTCCACCAAAGTAATGGTAGCCTGCTAGGGGTGTCCTGGCAGAAAGAAAGCAATCCCTAACCATGGAGAAGTGGACTAATGTGGGCTCTTTCCATGGCTGCTCATCCCTTAGTCTACACTGGCTGTTTCCCTGTGTTACTGTTGTGGGCAGTGTCGTTATCTGTAAGATGATCTGAGCCTTTAACATATCAGCTGATATGTCTGTGCAAAGTCTTGCCAGTCTTGCTGCCCCAAAGAAGAGCCTGGAAAAATGGTGAAATGACAGTCACACAATATTGCACCCTATTCTTAGGACCACCAAGTGGATGTTAATTAAACCTCTTTAATTATATACACAATTTGAAAACTATTCAGTAACCTTTCAATTTACCTATAGCTTCAGACTAAAAAAAACTTTTTTTCTTAGAATCACAGAATGATTTGGGTTGGAAGGAACCCTAAATATCATCCAGTTCTAATCATCTTCCAGGAACAGAGACACCTTCCACTAGGTCAGGTTGCTCCATCCAGCCTGGCCTTGAACGCTGTCAGGAACGGGGCACCCACAGCTTCTCTGGCAACCTGTGCCAGTGCCTCACCACCATCATAGTAAAGAATTTCTTTCAAATTCCTGATTTAAACCTGCCCTCTGTCAGTTGGAAACCATGGCCCCTTGTCCTGTCACTTTTCCCACATAAAAAGTCCATTTCCTTCCTTTTTATAAACCCCCTTAAGGTACTGGAAGGTGCTGTAAGGTCTCCTGGCACCTTCTCTTCTCCAGGCTGAACACCCCCTGCTCTCTCAGCCTGTCATAGAGGAGGTGCTGAAACCTTTAGTCATACTACCTGTCATTCTATCTTAAGTTGATAATTTTGAAAATATTTAGGCCGTGCACATGAAAACTTACGACTCAGGCTTAACTAGTTTGACCCTGGAAAATACCAATTATTTCTCATTAGGTAATCTCATCTAAGTTGACTTTATTGCCCCTTGACTCACCCTTGCTTCATTACCCAGACAGGTGTGTGGAAAAAAAATAAACTGTCTTAGTTTAGATGGACACCTTTTCCTTTGTTCTTTTTCTTTTTCTTTTTCTTTTTCTTTTTCTTAAAAGGACTCATAGGACTTTCCTGTCTTCTGTAGTGAACACTACCTGTCTGAAGAGTATTGGCTTATTGAATCAAAGTTTATATAAAACTGACTTGATCCAGCTGGGTAGCAGAAGAAACAACTAATATGTTCTTTGTATGACTGAGTGCTCTAGATGATAATGATGTGCCTCGATATTTTTTAAAAACCTGCACTAACTAAAATTTAATGCTTCTCTGTTTAAACAAGTGTTCTTTCTGTGCGTGAAATAATTACTACTGAAAACCAACAACTGTAACCTTAAAATGATTTATTGAATAGTCCTCTTCAGTCTTGGAGCTTCTGGTTTTTTTTCCCTAAGTTGTCACGTCCAAATACATTATTTGTGGTTAGGAAAATGATAAATATTTCTAGTGATTATTCAGTTTATGTATTTGGGAGACAGTTGATTGTTGACTGCGTGCTTGAATAATATTGTACTACTTCTATGTTCTTTTCAAAGAACTTCCTAGATAAGAATTTATAGAAGTTGCTTTTTATACTCAGGGCTCTACAACTAACAATAGTCTTCTTTACATTGTAACAGCAAGCAAAAATGTTTCAAACCCTGGAGTTATATTCCTGATGGAATTATGCCAATTTTCTGGCGTGTTGTGTATTGGACGTCTCAGTTTTTAACATGGTAAGTAAGGCAAAAGATTATGGCAAGGAGTATGATGCAGTTCTTAAATGGGCCATCTTAACAGTCATAGCATTCTTTAAAAATGTATATCAGTATGGAAAAGAGCTTTTAAATTGCATATTATCTGCTAGTAGTGAAATTTCGATAATAATTAGTATACTAATTTAGTCATACTTTTTTTTTTCTTGCTTCTGTGGAAGCAACTTTCAGGTGGCAGCCATTTATCCTTGGTTCCCTTTTGTAGTTGAAACTAAGCAATTTACATGTGTAGGTGTTTATGGATAAATTGTCTGAAATAAATGGGTTTTAGGCGGCCAGATACCAAAATAATTCTATTAATAATCTGGGTGATTTTTAAGTAATATTGTAAATTAGTTGGTTTTATCAGATATATTGCACGAAGCTTTAGATAGAACTACAGAATAAAGATTTGTGTATGGGGTTTTGGGTTGTCTGTGCTTTGTGCAATTTCTGATCAATCTGTTATCAGATAATTATTTTTGTAGTTTCAAGGATATCAGGGTTGCTAGTTCATTCTTAGTTATCACAGATTTTTCATAGCAAAGCTAACTGTATTGTTTTTATCTGCAGCTTGTGTAAGGGTTGCCATCAGACAGGTACATCTAGAATAAAAACATCTAAGTAGCTAATTTCTTAGAAGCTTGGGAGTCTTAAAACTTTTAACACCCCTGCCTGGTAACCTGACACTGCTAAAGTTCTTTTTTGGGGAGGTTGGTGGTTTGGGTGTTTGGGAGATTTTTTTGGAGGGGGTTGGTGGGTTTTTTATTTTGTTGGTTTTTGTTTTGTTTTTGGTTTTTTTTTTTCTGATTGGCTGATGTGGTTTTGTTTTGTTTCGTTTTCTCCTAGGATTCTGCTACCTTTTATGCAGTCATATGCTAGATCAGGAGGGTTCTCCATCACTGGAAAGATTAAAACTGCTCTGATTGAGAATGCCATCTATTATGGCACTTACTTGCTGATTTTTGGAGCATTTCTAATATATGTGGCTGTAAACCCAAACTTCAATTTACAATGGTAAGAATAAGGCTGTAAACACTTCCATGAGTTCTAACACAATTGTCATGGATAATTTCTTCTGCTGATGAAATGGGTCTTTCTGAAAAAAACTACTTTTAGTCATAATAATATGCTAGTCAGTTAGAAAATTATGTTAACTTTGTATATGAAATGGGCTTTTTTGAATATTTATGGAAATTCAGGGTTTGATACTCTGATTTTGGTATGTATAGCAGAGGAATCCTCTTGTATTTACAGTGGTGCTTTTTTCTCCATACAAACACATTTGCAAAGTTAGTGCAGAAACTTCCAGTGTTTTCAGAACAACATATTTCAAAAAATTTCCTATGTAGTGCCTCTAAATACTGTAGACTTTAATGGTGAAAAGGAAAGTTAAATAATTGACATCAATAAATTGCTTATAGTCTTCCATACCAGATGGAATAGAAATTCCATCTGAATAAAATTCCTGAACACAATATTATGAATACAAATCTTGGATTCTGAATTTGTTTCTTACAGTGACAGCCATTATGCTATTTTGACCTCACTGTCAGTAGGTTTGGTAAGTTCATGTTGTTTCCTAAGGGAACACATTCCTTTAGGAGAACAGTTTCTTTGGGAACAAACAAACCAATTCTTATCTGCCATCTGTAGTGGGCAGAACAGGAGATACAGGAAAATTGTGGCAGCTTTAAATACGGCCAGGCAGCAGACTGGCTCCAGGCAAAAATCTAGGTGATACCAGAGTCTGTTCCTGTAAACTTGAAAACCACATTGGTACATATTGATACCTCAAGGCTGGTTTCTTGCAGCCAAGATAGGAGAATGTTGTTTGTTTGGGTTTTTTATACTGTTGTTTCCTTAGGAACCAGCTTCAGACTATTGGAATAGCTGCTGCAAACACATGGGGTCTGTTCCTTCTTGTGTTGCTTTTGGGCTATGGTTTGGTGGAAATCCCTCGTTCTCACTGGAATGGGGCCAAGAGGGGTTATCTGCTCATGAAGACTTACTTCAAAGCTGCCAAACTGATGACTGAAAAAGCAGATGCAGAGGAGAATTTAGAGGATATTATGGAGGTAAGTAACTAACTTTGTCTGTGGAAAAAAGTGAAGGCTGCTGTTAGTCATGTGTGAATTCATTGGTGTTGGACACTTGTAGCATGAGCTTACCGTAAAATACCTGCAAACTAAGAAAATTATCATAGTGTGCCCCTTGATAACACTCAATCCTATGCAAAAGGCAAAACAGAAATAGTCCTTGCTGTGACAAACTTAAAAGTAGTAGCAACTTGATAACCATTATTTGATGAGTCTATTCTTTTATTGACACTTTTGGTGTAGTACTGGTCACTAGCAAATAACATTTCAGAATGAGCTTGAATAGGCAGTGTATAGATGTTTCACGAGGGTTAAAATTTGTATTTCTTCTATGCTCTGCTTGCAGTGTATTTCTGGACTCTCAAGAAGAGTTTCCAAATTGTGGGGCCACAATTACATACTCTTTAAGAAGAGAACATATAGATAATTATTTCTTTCAAAGTTTGTTTAGAGACTCTATTGTTAATAGAGTATCAGTGAACAATAGGCTCTACTGTAGTTCAAGAACAGAACGGAAATCTAGCCCTTTGAATAACTATTCGTGGTTCTTCTGCTGGGATACTGTGGCTTGGAATAAAATGTGTGAACTGTTGTAGGATAGGGTGGAAATTCGTTACATGTGTTACATGTTATTTGTACTGACACATAACACAAATAGACTCTTAATCACACAACAGTAATAGAATCTTCATTCATCCATAACAGCATTTAGAAGAAACTGCTAAAACAGTTAAAATATCTTAAGTGGGACATAACTACAAAACTTACTGGAAAATGAACAATGACAACCCTTTTTTACCAGGATAGCACTTAAAACAGATAGAATATTTCCACTGGAGGGCACCAACAACAGTCATCTGATGCAGCTGTCTGAGCATTTCAGAGCTGACCAAAAGTTGAAGCAAATTACTAAGAGCATTGTTCAGATGCCTGGAGAGGGAGATGCTGGTCTCTTTTCCCTGGAAGCCAGTGACAGGATGCATGGGGAAAGCTGTGTCCAGAGAGGTCCAGACTGGACATGAGGAAGCAGTTCCTTACCACAAGGGGAGTGGTTAGTCTCACACTGGAACTGGCTTCCTAAAGTGGTGGTCAGTGCCCTGAGTCAGACAGTGGGACTTATTCTTTATATCCTTTTTATCTGTAACTTAACCAAGAAAGTCTTTTCCATTTCAGCCTTCATGCATAGAAACCAATCCTCCATGTATTTATATAGTTGCATATTTGTACACTGCTGTTCTTTTAAAAAAAATACATTAAGTGTTCTTTACAATACTTCACTTAGCTTTTATGAGATATTTAGTAAAACTATGGCTTTTAGGAAGCTGTATTTTTTTAAGCTTTGATGGCTGACTGGGAGGGCTGCAACTCTTAATTGACCAGTAAAAATTTATAGTTAATGAATTTTTTTTATTGACGTTTTAATATAGCATAGGTAAACTACTCTGTTATTTTTTTCTCTCAACAGGAAGTCCGTAAAGTAAGTGAGAGTATCAAATATAACCACCCCTTGAGGAAATGTGTTGATACTATACTGAAAAAGGTAACCAATTGCTCATCAACCATAATGACTCAGCTGGGAGGATGTTTCTGCACATATAGAATACGTGTACATTACTTTCTTTTGCTCTTAATATAAAATCTCTAGTTGACTTCTGAGTTTCTGTTGAAACTGAGTTGAAATTCTTTGTGAAGTATTTTCTTATGACATATGGAATTATCAGATGTATTTTGACATAGCATTGTAGAAAGAGAGAAAAATGTATGCTTAGAGTGAGCTTTCCAGTTGTATGAAACTTTTGCAAATAATTAGCCAAAGCTGCTTGCTACTCTTTTTTCTCCAAGTTAATTTTCCCTTTTCCTTCCAGTGCCCTACTGAGTACCAGGAAAGAATGGGTAGAAACATGGATGATTATGAAGATTTTGATGAAAGACAGAACAGTTATCCCAGTGAAAAAAATTTGGCCAAACTTCACAAGCAGGTATATTAATAGATGGAAGAATGCCTCGTTTAGGCTGTTGTAGTGAGAGTAAATGCTAGTCAAAGATTTTGAACGCACTTCATCTGGACTGTTGAGTACAGTGGGTTTAAGCTACTTATCAGAAACTTTTCTTGGTGAGAGAATGCACAGACAATTAATATGCCAAGTGATCTAAGTTCTGGATGTGTAAAAGATTATGTTCTTGTGTTGTATCTTGATAAGGTTAAAGCTGTCTGTGAATAAGCCTTATAATGGTTGACTGACAGTGCATTCTGGAAAAGAAATTATAGTAAAAGCTTGATATTTACTGAGATGCAAAAATAAAGAGGTAGGTTGGGAAAAGTAGGATTTACCTGCTACAGATGGTTTGTGATGAAAGAGCTGCAAAACTCAGTAATCATGTATGTAGTACTTCCATAATTTATGTATTTTAGAGAATTACCTACCTGCGTTTTTGAAGATACAGACTTTGCAGTTCTGCAATGCATGTGTTTTCAAGGGATTTTGCAAGAATTTTCTGCCATTTTTTGAAACAAGTACCCTGAAACCCTAATTTCTTGCAATTTATTGTAGGTAATCTATTCAGTGCAGAGGCATCGTCGTACACAGGTCCAGTGGCAAATTCTTTTAGAGCAAGCATTTTACCTGGAAGATGTGGCAAAAAATGAAAGCAGTGCAACTCGACAGTTTGTTCATACCTTTCATTCCCAGGAACCAGAAAATAAAATTATTCAGTACTTCTATACACCAACGGTTGGTAAGTGCTGTCATGCAGGTTTTAGGTATGTTAAAGCATAACTGATACCTTTCTGTAACAAGAACCAATTGTTTTATGTAGGAAGTTCAGCTGCGGCAGAGGGAAGCATGTCTGGATTATTAATGTATTTATGTAATACATAGATACATTAGAAGAGCTATCGGATCCTAATTTATGCTCTTGGCCATAAGACCCAATTTTATTTACAAATTCAGTAGCAGTTACGTTAGAAAGCAATAAAGCAACAGCAAACTTTGAAGCCTTTTGAGAGCGAGTTCTGTTTCTGGTTGTGTAATTCTTATTAACCTGTTTCAGATATGTCTGTGTGTTTGTTTTTCCAGAGTGGTACTGGGAGTGCCTTCTCCGACCATGGTTTTACAGAGCGCTTGCAGTTGTGCTGGCCACGTTCTCTGTAATTGTTGTGTGGTCAGAGTGCACATTCTTCAGCACAAAACCAGTTCTGTCGCTATTTGCGGTTTTCATACAGCTGGCAGAAAAGACATATAATTATATATACATAGAGGTAAGTTTGAGATGGTCACTTGGAAAAAAATACTTTCAGATCAATGGTTATGATAGCAGTAGATAAAATAGATTTTTAAATAAATCTCTAAATAATCTGTCAACTTTCAGAAGGTCTCTAAATGTATGGTACTGAACTTTCTTTGTGCGGAGGAAGTCTGCCTTTTGCCACTTTTTAAAACTCAGAAATACCTGGTGAAGGCATGACCTAGCTGGCCTGAATATCATGTGTAGAGTAATTTCTGAAACAGTAGGTTGGAACATAGGTGTGAATTAGACTTTCTGTCTAAACAGTCATGTGTGTGACCTCAGTTTCCTAAACAGGGATTTGCAAATGACCAAGAATCCTGTCAAAGGTGTGGCTAGTGTATGTGTGCACAAATTTATCAGTAAAATACCGAGCTGAAAAATTCCAGTATACTTAGCAAAGGCTGATTTGAAAACACTTGGTTTATGCCTTTTTTCGTGGGAATAAATGCCAGATCAGTCATGGTAATTATTGAGGCAATTACAGCAATTTTATTTACATTAACAAGAAGTAGTAGAATGTTTCTAGGGTCAGCTGTGTTAGCTTATGTGTAAAATGTTATAATTTCCAGTTTAAATTGCTCTGAAAAACTCCCAAAACTCTTCTCAGAGATGGTGGTGTTCTCACATCTCAAAATGAGAAGTAAAGGCTGGAGATGGTCTCTGCATGTGACAGACCTTTAATAAAATTCTACATTTAAGCAACTTAACAACACCTTTTTTTTCCCCCTAGATGGCCTGTTTTCTTACCATATTTTTCTTAAGTATCTGTGTTTACTCTACTGTCTTCAGGATCCGTGTATTTAACTATTACTACTTAGCTTCACATCATCAGACAGATGCATACAGTCTCCTTTTCAGTGGCATGTGAGTATTTGGTATATGTTTTACAGGTGTTCTATCAAATACTGAATTGAAAATGTCCATAAAACTTCCATTTACATTCTTTAATTTGTAATTTATGGGTATAATTCCTAATGAGCGCTACACTGTTGTTCTATGATAGATCCAGTCATGACTTTGTAGGTTATCTAAGAAACGCTTTTAAATGCTGTTGCCTCTTGCATTTGTGCAGGTTATTTTGCCGTCTTACTCCACCATTGTGCTTGAACTTTCTGGGCTTGACCCATATGGATGCAACAATCTCTCACAAAAACACTCAGCCAACTGCTTATACATCTGTAAGTAAGAAAATAGGGGTTTGAGCTTTCAGTATGGTTTGGAGAATAGACGCAGTATTTTTAAATATATCTTATTGTAAAATACAGATTTTCAAATATTTTCAATCTTTCCAATGTGGTAAAAAATACTTGGTTATAGGCGAGGAGTTTGGTAATGATTTCTAGAAGTCATCAATAGCTTCCCCCCCGCCACCACCCCTTTATCTTAAGAAAGTAAAGTATTGTACTTTAGAGTTCAGGGTGTTCTTCATTTCCTAATACCAATTTCTGTAAGTTTTAGCTTTCAGTGGCTTTAGCATGTAGGCAATCCCTATAGATCAGGAGCAATCCTAACTTCCTATTGAAAATTAGTGAATTTGGTTTTATTGAATACCTTGTTTTTGTGTGGCAAGTTGTATCTCATGTCTTTGTTGTTAGTAACTAGATTTTTTTGTGTGAAAAACTGGAGACTTTTTTGCAGCAAATGAAAACAATCCACCAGATTTGCCCTTGTTCTAGAGTGGGTGAGACTACAAAATCTAGCATTTTAGAAATCTCAAAGTGCTGGAGGTGACCTTTACATCTGCTTATTCTCAAGCAGACCTGTGATAATATTGCTTATGTTTCAGTTACTGTAAAGGATCGTGTATTTGTGAGAAGGCACGATCTTCATGGGTTTGTGTAGAATATAGCTAATTAGAGCTTGTTCTTGGGAATGTTTGTTTCCTAGATAATGGGATCCATGAGAGTGCTGTCCTTCATTGCAGATGGATTCTATATCTACTACCCAATGCTTGTTGTCATTCTCTGTATTGCTACGTACTTCAGGTAAGTGATTTGCAAAACAGATCCTCCGTGCTCCTTTACATTAATAAGACTAGTTTCATCTATTTCAGGAAGAGATTCAGTACGCCTTTTCCAGCAGTTGTGTCATTCTAATAAAAATGTAAAACCTAAATCCATAGATTGCTATTTATATAGGGGAAATGTATACATGTTAAAAATACAGATTGTATTAACTCATAACTGAGTTAATTTAAACTTCATTCCTAGATCTTAAGGGGTGATCTGTTCAAACTTTGGAGCCTGGGGACATTTAGATTGTGCTTTTGAGATTAAAATTATCATGAGAAAGCTGTTTCCAGCAAAGTTTTCTAAGAAATTAAGGACCACTAGCAGCATTTTTAGGTATTGAACTTTCTAAAGACTGATATCAAGTTTCTGATGTGTTACTAAACTTCTGGTAACACATGCTGGATTAAGTAATTTGATCTTGTTTCCCTAAAGCACAGTTTGTTGGAGGCTGGAAGGGTAACTGCAGAAAACATCATTACATTCTTGCTTTATAATTTCAAAATGTCTCCTTTTGATCACTGTAAGGGATGAGATACTTCTAGTCTGATCTTGCTGAAATACAAATTTATGTTAGTATCTTCAATTCTGCATTACCATTCAGTCAGAAGCAATCTCTGTGTTTTTTAGTCATGGTCAATGTAGTGGAGTGCCTTGGATATCCATTAATATTGTGTGTGTATCTACAGATAGTAAGTAACAAGTATCTAGTTGTGAGTTTTCCATTTTACCTTGAAGTTAAGTGACAAAAGTGGTGGTGGAGCTAAAAAAACAAACAAAACAAAGCAAACAACAAACAGGAAAGCAAATTACAAGAAGAGAGAAATTTGACCTCTTGTGCGTGATGATCATCCTGGGCCTTGAATGCCAAAGTGAAAAGGGAGAATAAAAATTAAAGGAGAGAAGGTTGCTTTAATGACCTCTGCTAATAAAGATACATGCAAAAACTAAGGTTGAATTAAAATCTGTTGAGGAAAGATGATTCTCCTTTGCTTAATCCAGCAGTCTTAAAGTTAAGGTAGTATCAGGAAAAAATATATCAGTACTCCAGTTTGGGGGAAGGAAAACAGTACAAAAACAGCAATTGTGTTTTCTGGTGTGAAGTTGAAAAGATTAAAGTGATTTCATGCTATGTAGTTCCAGGATTGGCTTAAAAAAGGTGGAGCAAGCTTGCTACCTGACTGCTGCCAATGGCTATCCAAATGGGCAGCCAGCATCCCTACAGCTTAAAAGTATGCAGTTCATATTCTCCTGAGTGAAACCCTGAGGTGAAAGTGGATTTCCTATGTTGTTACTGTTTCAACAACGGAGAAATCAGAATAAGAAGAATTTTTATGGTAATTGTCTTCTGGCAAAGAGGAGTTGATGACATATTATAGGTGCAAATTCTGTTATATCTGAGAACATTTAAAGCAAACGTCTCATGTTAGACGCATTTAAAGCTAGTGTCATTTGCACTACTCTCAGATTATGCGCATTTTAGTCTCTGTTTGAGTAGAGTTATTCTATCACTTCCAGTTGTATTTAGGAATGTGTTACTGTTCTGGGTCACCTAGGTCACCCTACTGTTCTGGGTCGCCAGTTATTGTTCTGAGTTCGGAATTTTCTGTTTTCTTCTTTTCTTCTTTGTTTTTCCTTTTTGCTTGGATTGTTCATACAGTTCTGAATAGTTTGTTTTACATTTTGTTCTGTAATGTATCTAAATTACTAATTGTAAATTAACAAAGGAAATTGCTTCTTCTTTTACCAGTTTAGGAACTCGTTGTTTGAATCTTTTGGGGTTCCAGCAGTTCATGGGTGATAGCGAAATGACCTCGGATTTGATTGATGAAGGAAAAGAGCTAATCAGGAGAGGTAAATTAGGTCTTCTGTCACAGTCTGTCTGTAAAATTATAGTACTATAGAATCATGAAGGCTAGAAAAGACCTCTAAGATAGAGTCCAACCCTTATTCCAGCACTGACAGGTTCACCACTGAACCATGTCTGCAAATGCTACAGCTGCACATCTTTTAAATACTCTCAGGGATGGTGACTCCAGACTTCTCTGAGCAGCCTATTCCAATGTCTGACAACCCTTTCAGTGAAGAATTTTTTCCTAATACCCAAACTTCATAGCACAACTTCAGGCCATTGCCTCTTGTCTTGTTGTTTATTGAAGACCAACCCCTACCTCACTACACCCTCTTGTCAGGGAGTTGTTAAGTGATAAGGACTCCTGTGAGCCTGCTCTTTTCCAGGCTCAACACTCCCACCTCCTTCAGCTGCTCCTCATCACAGTCCTGCTTCAGACCCTTTCCCAGCTCCATTGCCCTTCTCTGGACTCAGAACTGGACCCAGGCCCAGAACTGGACACAGGATTTGTAATGTGGCCTCTCCAGTACTCAGCACAGAAGGGCAGTCACTGCCCTGTTCCTGCTGGCCACACCATTGCTGATCCAGGCCAGGTGCCTTTGGCTTTCCTGGCCACCTGGGTACATCCTGGCTCACGTTCAGCCACTCTCGGCCAGCACTCCCAAGTCCTTTTCCAAAAGGCTGCTTTCCAACTGCTCTGGCTGAGGCCTTTAGCATTGTGTAGGTTGTTGTGACCCAATTGAAAATTGAAAGGAAAGTGGTTTGTGAGCATTCTGACCAGCTGCCTCTGTCCTTTTGGGTCGATCCCATCTGGCCCCACAGATCTGTGGCTGTCCATGCAGTGTAGCAGGTCACAGATCGTATCCCCTTGGATTCTGGGGACTTTATTCTGTTCCCCATCCCTGCCTTCCAGCTCAGGGAACCTGGTACTCGGACAACAATTGGTCTCAGTCTTAAAGACTGAGGTAAAAATGCAGTAAGTACCTCAGTATTTTCATCATCATATAGTATGTTTTTGGTTTACGTTTGTCTGAAATGTTGCAGAAAAAAAAAAGCATACTGTCAGTCAGTATTTTGAAAGCTGTACTGAGGAAGGCCACAGCACAAACTGCAATAAACTTAGAGCACTCTGGTCACTATGTAAAGTCCACTGATGGACTTCATTGACATCTTCAATGAAGTACCAGTTTTACTCATCCAGTATCTGAATTTTAGATATTTCTAAATATGTTATAGTGTGTTACTGAACAAATAATACCTTAGCAGGTGCTTGTGTAATCTGTCATAAAGGATGATTAACATTTACACTGTCTTTATCATCAACAAACTAATCTTTTTTTTGTGTGTTGATTGAGCTGCACAAATTCAGTCATTTCTTCAGTCTTTTTTGTTATGTCAATTAGCTGTGTTTGACTAGAGAAGGCATGTTTTTTGTGTAGAACTGGAATTATCTGCTGGTATGGAAAGCTTTTAATTTTGCATTAATTTTTATTGAAAGTATTTCTTAAAAGTTGCAAAAAGCCATTGTAATCTTTGAGTAAATGTTTAGAAATTAAAATTTCTGGAGACAGTGTTATATTATGGAATTCCTTTATTCCAACAGTTGATGAAAAACCTGGGTTTACTTAGAGTAGTACTATGGGTTTTTTTAGTAAAAGACCAAAGTTTCATTCCCTTAAATAAAAGGCAATGATGACATTGATATTGTAATGTTATATGTCTTGATTCAAAAATGCTGAAGTTTTTTCTTAATTTCTTTTTCTTAATATCTTACTCTCCCAGTTATTTCTAAGGGTTTGTTTGACTTTTTTTTTGTTCTTTGCTCGCTGATATCCAAATGTTATGCTGTGATCCAAGATACCATCATGACAAAATAACTCTGATGGGAAATCCCATAATGATAGACTAACTGCTTTTTGTTTTGTTTTTGTTTAATTGTAAAAGGCATGTATTTCAATAAGAATCTTCATTAGTTAACTTCATGTTTTTATTGTTTATTTTTAAAAAATGCTAATGATTTTCCATATATGGAGCTCAGATAAAGTTTCTTTTTTTTATTTTTAGAGAAAAGGAAACGACAGAGGCAGGAAGAAGGTGAAAACAGAAGAAGGGTATGAGATTTGTTTGGCTAGTTTTAACATTACACTGCAATATCTGATAGGATTTATCATGGATATTTAATTCAGAATTGCCTATTTCACATAAAAAGAGTCCCAAATAATTGATGGAATCAGTTTAATCTTGATGAATAGTCTTGACTGGGTTATTTATAGGTTAGAGGACAATTTTAATAGCACTACTTGGACACCATTGTTACTCAGTGTGCTGTGGTGTACGCCAGTAGGTACAACAAGCATTAAAAAGGGTCCTGATTACTAGGATACAGAATAATCTAAAATGGCATATTGCCAGTCTCTTAGACTGATGCTGCTCTACTTGAAATTACTGCAGTTGCAGAGTTGTCACACTGAAATGTAGACTCCTCCCAAATTTATTGTTTTGTGTGCTCATTGGAAAGTCATAGGCACAGGTTCTATTTTGTTTTTTGCCAGAGGAGGAAATTACACTTAAGACAGAATTAATAGTTTCTGCTGAATAACAGACAGAATGTTTGATTCAAATCATGTTTTCTGCGCATATTGTATTGAAAGATTTGTGAAGCTTTAGTTTTTCACTAGTTTGTAACAAAATCTAGTATAGAAAGTCACAATAAAAGGTAGATGAGAGAAAGGGTGCCTGCAAGACAATACTGGGAATAAAATCTCTTGGTTTACCAAGATCAGGTATAGTTTAATCCCCAATGACAGTCAGTGCTGCATAGACCTTTCTTTTGATCCTGTCCTGGTTTAGGGCAAATTTGGGAGAAAACCTCCAAAAGGGCCCCCCCTGCAAGCAAACCCACACGGCCGCTCCCCCAACTGGATCAGGAAACATTTCCTCAGAGAGAAGTGGAAAGAACCTGTTTATTTAACAGCCAAAGCATTCCCCAGCACACAAAATGAACAATACCAGGTGTCAAAACTCTTTCACCGCTCTGAAGAGATGACAAATTCAGAAAGCCTCTCCTGTGGGTGGTCACTCTGTTATCAATCCCTCTGGCACTGGCAAAGGCTGCTGCCCACAGCAGGCCCTGGTGGCCACAAAGTGCAAGCTCTCGGTGCTCCCCAGGTCCCAGTCCAGAGCAGGCTTGAACAGTTCCAAGGAAAAGGAAAGAAAACCAGTCCAGGGAAATCTTCTCTGCCTCAGCTAGCTAAACTAACTAAAAAGCAATGAAGGGCTCTGTTCTGATCCATCCAATGTGGAGGAGTGAGTTGCAGTCTCTGATAACAAACTCCATGCTTCTTTTTCACTTCCCACCTTCACTCTCAGAACCAGTCTTGAAGGCATAGAATATAATATCCAGCATAAACAGAACAGATGACTGGGGATACAAGCATCATAATGTCACCCTAGGACAGATCCTTTCCCTCCATCTTGTAGTTTTAAAACTTGAACTTGTTGGGAAGCAAAACAGCAAATGTATGATACATTTAATATACAGTGAAATGACCTTACACTAAGCTATGAATTTTTATGTGCTATGTGCATCTTGTTATTTTTCCGTTCTGCCACTAGATGGAAGTAGTGATCAATAAAAGCAGCAGTTCCCACCATAACTTAGAGCAGTTAGCTGAACTTTGAGAGCAGATTCGAGATGCAATTTCCTTTATAGAAGTCTTTTTCTTAAGAACAATTACGATAACTGGTTTAGTGAAGGAACACGTTTTGCGTTTAAAATGAAACAAAAATTTTTCCTGTGTTTAGATACTGAACTGTTAGTTGCTGTGTTGCTTTTTCCTCCCAACTTATATTTTTCTTGGTGGTCTTTTTTCCAGGAATGGAAGGAGCGGTATGGAAATAGAGAGGATTCCACCAGAAGCAGAGCTGTCCACACAGACCAGAAAGAATCTAGCTTCTCAGAGACCAATGCCAATAGACGTAAGCTTTGTGGGTTGGAGGGGAAGTTTGTTTTGTTTTGTTTCAGTACATTTTCTTCACAACACTGGCTGTGAAAGTAGTTTCAAATATTCTGCTTTTTGTCTTAGATGCTGTGCCGATAATGTTCACTTCTGTGGCTCAGTGTCACCTTGCCATTTAAGGCACTCAAAAGAGTACTGTATTTCTTTCCATCTCCAAAGTTGGGATCAGAGGTTCTTACTATTCTTCAGACCAATTACTTGATCTTATGGGATATATAATGATTGCCATTAGGCTAGCAGTTGTCGACAATGAAACTTCATGATGCACTTGAAGTTGGGTGTTGTAAATCTTAAAATTCACCTCTTCTGTTTGCAAGTGAGCTGTCTCAGACTGGAATAATGGAGCAATCAGATGACCAACAAATGTGACACCACATAAGTGTATATACATTCATTTAATAATGTGTATTAGCAAAATACTTTTTTTTGTGGATGCTTTAAATTTCCAAAAGACTTTGTCAGAATGTGAATGTTTTTTTCTGTATTTTTTTGTGCTCTTGTAAGCTAACAGCAAGTCAAATGAAACTGAAGAAAAAGGAGGAAAAAGGGGAGAAGGAGGAGGAAAGCTTTGAATATGCTTTTAAGAAAATACTGATAGATTTCCCTTTCCTCTGTACAAAGTTGCAAACCCAGATTTTTAGTGGTAGAGTAACTGAAATTGCTTTCTAATGTTCATCATGTGATCATGTAGCATTCCAGCCCTAAAACAAGACATAGGTACTGACCTAGTGAATGTCACAGAATGAACTGCAATACAACACATGAGATTGATTTTTTAAAAAATAAACAAAAGCAAACAAAAAACCAGTCTGAACAGCTTAGTTAAAGCATGAAGCTGGGAGGATGAATGTATGATTTAAAAGTAATGCCTGCCAGTAGGTTCTTATTTTCCATGATTCTTTGCAAGATAGATCTCAACCTATTGGAGGGGCAAAAGTTTTAGTTGCATTTCTGTGGAGATACTAAATGGAAATACTACAAGTTTGAGCAAGTTTCGTTTAATATTAAATCTACTCCAAATCATTGCACTTTTGCTTTGGATGAGATTGCTTTGTTATTCTTAGTGCTTTTTTAGATTTAATGTCTTCATACCCTTCAGGCTGTTTACAAAGCAAGTAAGTGTCTTTCACTCCTTTTACTTATTCAGCACTATCAAAGTATACCCGTTCAAATGGTAGGACTGAAAGAGATAGAATAGAACTCCTCCAGGATGCAGAACCTTTGGATTTTAATGCAGACTCTGTTAATGATGACCCCCTTGAATCGGACTCAGGAAGGTGAGGAATGTTCTCTGTAATTTCCAGTTAAAAGTTTCTGTTGTCTTCTGTTTTCTGACCTATGACAGCTGTATTAAATGTTTCATAATAACAGTTTTGTAAACGAAGTTTATAATTCCATCTAACTTTTTTCCTTTCTTCTTTTTCCCCTATAATTAGGAAATAATTTTAAAACCTATTAAAACCTGAAGGTGTTCCACGTTTTTAGAAATGTCAGAATAAGATTTGAGCTGGATATAATGTTATATATGGAATACCTTGAAAACCACTGCATGTAAAACCAGTGAATTACGTGCATGTTAAGGAAACATTCCTGGTGTGACCATCTCTGGCCATTCGTGGTGCAGTCAGGGGATCACAATTGTGCCACCCCAGACTTTCACTGCTGGGACTGAAGCCCCTTCACCACAGGCAGCTCCAGTGACCCAAGGACCAGGTGGACCAAGTCCCCCTTTCCCTCCCTACTCACTCCACTCTCACAGTCAGAAAATTTTCCCTTTCCAACTCAACCATAGGTTTCCCATAGCAGAGTCCCAGATACCTGGTTCCTTTAATCATGGTGCAGTGACAGCATAACAGCTTGGATTGGTGCCTCTAGGAAGGAACCCCAAACAAAAAAATCCCGGAGCTTTTACACCCTCACAGCCCATGTGCACCGTGTTCCAGGCTCTTCCAGCTGAACCCTTGGCTCCTGCACAGTCTCAGTGTCCAGTCCACTGGCTGGGCCAAAGGTCCCTGTGCCCTTTGTTAGTTGTTCTTGGCACCTTGCCTGGGGCTCCCATTTCCTGACATCCAGGGCACAGCCTGCAGCTGCACACTGAGCTGCCAGCTCTAGGTGTATGCCTCAACAGACAGAGGTGCAGTGTAAGGTTTTCCCTGATTTCCTACAAAGCTCAGCTGGAGAAAGCTCACTTGATTTCCCAGTAAAAAATCCATTATGAAAAGGCTGCAGGAAATAAAACTGAATGTTACAGGATCCGCTGCAGGAATACAGCTGGGTATCAGATCTTGGAGCTACTAAAGTGAATTAAAATCGGAACTTCCTGAACAGAGAGTACCAGACTGCACTGTGTAGCTCTGTCTGTAGTAGAGAATTTTGTGATTGTCTGGTTGTGACTGCAACACCAAATTGCCTCAGAGTACCTTATGTAACTGCTAAGCTCTGCTTCATTTAAGAAACAAGCAATACATTGTATGGGTGCTTTTTTATTGGGGGGGGGGGGTGGATATAGTGTAGAAATGACAAATAATACAAAATTCACATAAAAAAAACTTATAATTTGTTGTTTTTCAGCTTAAACTATTTTACCCCATCACAAAGTCACAGAAAGTCATTGTTTCAGTGGACTTCTATCTGTAATGTCAATAACAAATGCCAGCTTAGAAACATGTAAAGAATGCTGTGAAATGGCACTGCCAGGTTTCACAGGTTGATTCAGACAACTGGTTTAGTCTCGTGTCACCACATTTGAGCACTTGGGGGTTTCTAAACACATGAGTTTAAAGAGGAGCTACCCTAGAATTTCTGTCAGCAGTTGGCTTCCATGCAGTGTCAAAGGGATTGTCTACTATAAACAGGAGTATGTATATGTAATTATTCTGGAGCAAATACTTTTCAAGGACAGTGTCAGAAGTCTCCAGGAATCTATATATGCTTTGCAAAGTGGAACATTCTAAACTTCTTCTTTAAAAAGAAAATCAGGAGCTTCAAAGCTTAGTTGGGCTTTGCCTAGTAACCTTCATTTCATTTCATGGAGGTAATAAGTCAAGAGTAATTGCATATGGAATTTCAGTTAATGTAGAAGTAGCTTATGTAACATTAGTTTTCAAAACTAGAGCTCCTGCAGTAAATAGAACACTTTTGGACTGTAAGGGCAGTTAGGATACCAGGTTCTGGCTTTGTGTTCATTCAGATTTTACTAAATACTACAGCAAATAGCTTCATTGTGCCTGTGTTGGACTTTGTGCTTTTAAAGTGTTTCTAAAAATATATTTGATCAACAATTTGTGAAATTTCTTTTTTACCAATAAGCATGCAGGCATTTGTTTGATGCAGGCATTATCTTTGATATTCTTCTTCTAAGAATACCCCATGAGATGTACTGTTAAGCACCTGCAGCTACTTTATGGGTGCCTTTGTTTGTTTGGGTTTATTGTGTTTTGGGTTTCTGTTGGTTTGTTAAGCTGTTGGTGTAGTTGGGATTTTTAAAAAGGTCCTGTTCAACCAAAACATCAAACTTCTTTCCTTTGTTTTAGGAAACAGTTCTTTAAGACTCCCAGTATTCATATAGCTGTTTCTCTTGGTCACATGAGGTTTAATTTAATGACTGTCTTTCAAATTCTCATGAAGACTAATTCAGTAGAACATCAAATTAATCATCCACTAGAGTCAAGGAGAAAGATTGCAATGAGAGTTAGATGATTTAATGGGTCTTTATTTTTCTATTTCCTGTGACACTTTTTCGCTTCTAAAATTGATTCTGCAGGTACCAGCCTGGTGGAAGATACCTGTCAATGTCTCGAAGCAAAATATTTGATGATGTCTAAGCTCATGAAAGCTAAAGAAAATTCAGTGGAAATCTAGCTCCTACTCATTGCTTGGAAAATACTGCATTTGCAATATGTCACTGAACTGTCAAAGACTCTTTAAAAAAAAACATGAAGGAACAACTCTTTGGGGAATGCACGTGTATGATAACTTCACCTCTAGTGATAGGAATATGCTTCTGCTGTTGTAGATACTGTTGTTCATCAGTGTGGGCTTTTGTGTCATGACCAAAAGGAAAAAAATATTTAAAGTTAATAGACGATAAACTCACTAATATACCTAGGGCTCAACTTGAACTGTAACAGTCTAAGTTTGGGAAATTTTCTGGAATTTTTTATTTTGTATTTTAACCAATGCTGTGAGAGCATATTGATGTATCCAAAGTGCAGTTATATCAACTATGCTTTTGCTGAGAAAGTTAGTCACAGAATGGTTTGGGTTGGAAGGAACCTTAAAGATCATCTAATTTCAAGGCCCTCTGCCATGGCAGGGACACCTTCTAGTGCTGCTCAGCCCTCCATCCAGCCTGGCCTTGAACACACCCAGGGATGGGACATCCACAAGTTCTGTGTGGCAACCTGTGCCAGTGCCTCACCACCCATACAGTAAAGAGTTTCTTTACATATCTAATCTAAATCTGTCTTCTTCAAATGTTCAGCCATTTCCCCTTGTCCTGTCACTACACTTCCTGATATAGAGTCTCTCTCCAGCTTCCCTTTAGGCACCTTCAGACACGGGAGAGTTTTTCCTGTGAGGTCTCCACACAACATTCTCTTCACCAGGCTGTAAAGCCCCAACTTTTTCAGCTGATCTTCACTGAGGGAGGTGCTCCAGTCCTCTCACCAACCTGGTGGCCCCCTCTGTGCTGGCTCCAGCAGGTCCCTGTGGTTCCTGTGCTGGGAGCCCAGGGCTGGATGCAGTGCTCCAGGTGGGTCTCAGCAGAGCAGAGCAGAGGGGCAGAATCCCCTCCCTGCCCTGCTGCCCACGGGGCTCTGGGTGCAGCCCAGGACACGTTTGGCTCTCTGGGCTGGGAGTGCCATGGCTGGGCCATGTGCAGCCTCTCACCCACAGCACCCCCACGCCCTTCTGGGCACGGCTGCTCTGGGGCTGCTCATGCCCAGCCTGTAAGCTGTGCCTGGGATTGCAATGACCCAGGTATAAGACCTTGCCCTTGCTTTGTACAGACACATCTCTCAAGCCTGTCCAGGTCCTTCTGGATGGCTTCCATTCCCTCCACTATCAACTGCACTGCACAGCTTGGTGTCCGCAGATAGCCCTTGAGGTTCCTTCCATCCTGGTACTCTGTGATTCCATGAAATTTTTTGGTATAAATTTTGGAGCGATGTGTGGTGGTCAGAAAAGGCTGTATTTTTTCTTTTCCAACATTACAAGCAGATACATGATTTTAGCATGTGTAAATAGTTGAAATTGAATATGGACCTGAGTGTCACTGTCAGATGAGCATATGTGCAATAGCAGGAATACATTATTGAAGATACAATGTCTGCTTAAGATCTTTACAGATGTAATGATTCAAAATCATGGCACTAGTGTTTTTGTAACTGTAAAAGAAATATACTATGAAGATGGAGTTAAATACTGAAACATGATAATTTGCACGCACCTCAGGCACAGCTTCAAACTCTAGACTATTTCTTTAAAAGAAGGGAAATACATAGCATGACTAGGTAATGGTAAACACTTTTTATATCCTAAATACCCTGGTTGCATTATGTATATCAGTTTTTAAGGTGCCTGTATTTTGCAGTAGGTTGTTGCAAAAAGAATAATACTTTGCCATTCAAAAATGCCAATTATTAACAGTGTAAAAAAGCTTCACATTAATTTCATTAGTGTAGGCATATTTTTAAACCATAGTTAGTTGTATGAATTTTCAAATATAATCATAAGGTAAAAGATGTGGTCAAATTCGTGATAACTTTGAAAATTTGAATAATTTAAAGCATTTTGGTTTTTGTCTGAAATCTTTGCCACTTGGGAGCTAGCTTTCTTATGTGCTTTTTGCAAAATTATGTTGAAAACTAAAAGAGAACATGTTTTTATCATACATTCTTTATCATGCTTAAAAAACACATCCTTAAAGCAGCTAGGAATGAATTATTCTGAAAAGTAAGTTTTCATGAATGACATATTCTAGTAATTTTTAACAATAGTCTGTGTTTTCTCAAGTAATTGTTAATGGGGATCTAACTCTACCTCCTGTGATTTTAGTATATGTGTTGTAACAGTAGTGGTATTTGTAATACATTGATCTGCCTGTTTTGAAACACTGAATTGTTACTATGAAGGAGAAAAATCTTTATTTGTATAGAAATAATTATATTAATAAATTAGCAGACATACAATAATTGTCAGTTTTGTTCTTAGGTGAATACAGTGAATGTCAACCATGCCCACAGGCATTCAAGCTCATGCAATTTCCAGACTACTCATATGAGGTCACTTTTTAGTTTGAGTACTTTGTGTCTGTAAAATCTTGTTCCAAGTCTTAGGCTTGAATCTTATCAGGGACTGGAAGTTGAGAAGATGAGTCTCTCTTTATTCAGATATTTCTTTAGGAATTCTATGGTAGCACCTATTTAATTTATTTTTGAACTACTTAGTAGTACTATCTTGAATTCATCCTTATATGAAAGGCGTTGTATACATTCTTGGGCACTCACCCATATGACTGTTCTTAGACTCTATATTTCTGTTTTAAAAATTTATATCAGCAGTTTATTTATGAAAACCTGTGGCAGAAATAAAATTCAAACTCTTTATATAACTCTTGAGATGTCACTTCAAAGGGATCTCATCAGAGCCAGTAGAAAAGCTATTACAAGGAGCTTCTGTTTTCTGAAAATCTGTGAAATAACTTTACCTCCTCCCTGGTGACCAGATAATGGGATTGAGCCTTCTTGCGGCCTGTTTTTTCCCCTCTCAGTGAAATGGCTGCAAACAGAATTTTCAGAGGAAACATGGTCAAGGTTTTATATAAAGCAGGTAACTAGTCCCTAGTGCAGATTTCATTGGAATACAGTAATTTGAAGAGTTGACTGTATAAATTAATGGCAGTGGGATTTCAGATTCTAACATAGACATTCCGCGCTGAACGTTTTTGACGTTGCAGTGCAGTAAGGGAGAACCAGTGGCTGCTTTTTGAGCTCTGAAAAGCTGTAAAGAATTCTCTGTATCATGCTTGGCAATGCCTGGTGTCACATCTTCTCTGGATGCTGTTTGGTTAGACAGGGAGTTGATTAGTGAAGTCAGGTTTCCTCCATTGTATGTATTGCTGACCAGGAGTTATCCAGGCTCTAATTACATGCAATTTATTGCCTAATTTAAAGTATGTTTTGAAAACTCACTATGGGTTTATATGACTGAATCTGGAATACTTTCAGTAAAGAAATAATCATGTACAACTATAGAAGAATAATATTTTCTGTTCACTTGAGCTAGTTTCAAACATGTTTGGTTACTGCTAGTACAAATAATGCAGAACTTGGCTGGGGGCTGTGTCCCTAAGGATTTACCCCTCTCCAGAGAGCTGTGGATGCCCTGTCCCTGGAAATGTTCAAGCCCAGGCTGGACATGGTTCTGAGCAATGTGCTGGCTAACCAGGAGGGCTGGACTAGGTGGCCTTTACAGATCCCTTGCAACCCAAACTGTTCTGGGATTCCATGGTGCTTCTCAGACAGATTTTGGCAACTCTTGATGGGTTCTTTCCTGCTACACCTCCAGTCCTAGTAGCCCTACAGCTAAATGAAGTTAAAACTAGCTTTGATGTATTAAAGCAGTGACTGTATTCTAGACTAACAGTGTTCCTGCATCACTTCTGATGCTACAGATTAGGTGATTTAAATACAATTCCCTTGCAGACTGTGCTGTTGGAAACTGAGTGTTAACGAATTTTTCAGTCAGTGTATTTATAGAGTCATATTTATTTGCTGCTAAAGAATGTAAATTTTATATATCTTTATTGTTTCACTTCCTGAATTACTGAGCAGTTAGTGTATACTTCTTGCCATCGTTTCTGCAGTTTTCTCTCTATCAGTGAACACCAAAAAAAGCCCCAAAACACCAAAAATTCCACCCAAGTTAAGTACAAATATTTGAAAGTCTTCCTGTCGAAGATTTAAATGACTGAAAATAATGTGTGCAAGTCACAATGAGCTTCAAAAAGCAGTGTGAAAACAGTACCTGTTCAGTGTTGGAGTTCTTAAAAACTATGGATAGGCAAAAAGCTGTAGTCAAACTTATTACTCCTACTAGATTTGTAGTTCTCCTTTTCTTAATACATATTTTGATATGTATATTGGGAAATATGTGCCCTACTGAGCTAAGGAGGAGTGCATCTCTCAGCTGTGAAGTGAGGCAGTGTTTTTATGAGGGAAGGTAAAAGATAATGTAACTTCTAATCTGTGCTTATAGTGATAGTTTGCTTTGGGCAAAGGACGACATAGCTTCTTATTTAACTACAGTAAAGTGTTAAGAAAAAAAGAAACTTTATGCTTCTATAAATTACACTACTGGAAAAATCATGGTATGTAGTCTGACTTTATTTTGCAATCAAGCACTTGTAAAGCAGTCATTAACAGTGTTAACAGGAATGGTAGAAAGCTGCTGTCTTTTCAATATTTTTTCGTGCTATTGTAAAATATAACATGAACAATGATTTTTACATAGGAAGTATTAAAAATTATTACTATGGTTTTCTATAATTATGATAATTTGTATTTTATTAAATTTGTCTTGGAATACTGTAAATACTATTTGAAAAATACTATATTTAGTTTCAGTTTTCATGATTGCTTTAATTACTTGAAATCTGAGGGGCATTCATAATACCAGATAGAGAACACTTTATGAAGGAGAACTTTTTATGAAGCTTCTTAAAAAAATCTGACTGGTTCATTATAGAGATATAGGTGCATCTTAATTATTAACAATAACATTACTAAGGGGATATATCGTGTCCTGGCTTTTTAATTTTTCTTTGAAATTCAAAAAATTGTTACTTTTTTCAGAGCAGCTTAGTTGTGAATCTTGTAAACTTTCTGAAACTTTTACATTCCTTTTCCCTAATGGGCTCTGCAGGAATATGTACTGCTTCATGGCAGTCACCTAACACTAGCTGTGCCTCTAATTAAGTAGTCTAATCTGAAGCTGAGACACTCCTACACCATTTGATTATGTTAACAGAAATTCAGCATTCCTAGCCAAAAAAAAAAATGCACGTTGAATTTGATCCCTTTTAAATACATGAATTGCTGTTGTTGATTTTTTTGCATTATATTTGATACCCTCTGTTTGGGTCATATCATAAGCCCAATCAGGTTTATTCTTTGTTTCTCGTAGAATGCATTGGAATGAAGTCCTCAGCATGCTTTTGTGTGCATGTGTGTGTTTTAGTATGCAGCTTCAGTTATTTCCTCAGGATGATGTTGTTATATTTGACATATTCCTGTGAACTAGTAGTTTCAGAGTGATATTTTCGCTGTCACTGTAGAAAATAATTATTTCCAATAGAAATACATTGTGTTTCTGTAGAGGCATCTGGAAGATAAGGGAATTCATTTGTAAGTATAGGTTTAGTAATAGGCCTCCATTCTCCAGTGTATATCAAGATAGGCTGTAGGAGTGCTGCTTATGGATAGACTATCTTCTTTTGCCTTATGATACAAGTATGTATGCATAAATACCTTGTTTTGAAATTCACGGAGTTAAACATTTTTCTCTGTAGTGTTCTGAATTACTGTTGTTACTGGATTATATTTTTGAAATGTGTGTTACAATATATATAATCAAATACTTAAATTGGCATGAAATAAATCATTTCTGCAATACATTTTCCCTGGTGTATTTTAGATATTCATACTTCTCTGAGGTGTTTTTGAAAGTAGTCATTTAGAGAAACTTGATCTATTTATTTTTTCCAGGTGGAAGTTTTCTTTTATTAAAAGTATATTCATACCTTAGAAGCTAATCCAACCTTGTTTTGGTTATCACTTTGAATCTTCTTGAAGGCAGATTAAGAAAGGAAATCGAGAAGAGTACTGCATACGTGGTGTTGTCAGGGAAACCTCTGAGAACACTGTGTGCTTCTGGGACTAACTTGGCACTGTGGGGCATTAGGTGGGATGAAAGGTAGGGTCCGTACATCTCTTCTTCTTTTGTGAGAACTCATACTAGGACAATTCCTTCTAGTTCATCCAGGCCCCTGGGGACAATGAAGGCAAGAAACTGATCCACTGCAGCTGTGAGGAGATGGACACAGCAAAGGAATTGACTCCATCTCATCGTTCTCATTCTTACATGCGTTTTGCTTTTATCTTCCCTACAGAAAAGAAAAAAAAAGGTAAAGGAAGAAGAGAATTTTTTAAAATTTAAATATTTTACTATGTTTGTAAGTTGGCGGAGGTGATTCTGCCCTTCGGCTCTGCTCTGGTGAGACCCACCACTGCTGCCTCCAGCTCTGTGGTCCCCAGCATGAGAGGACCATGGATCTGTTGGAGCAAGTCCAAAGGAGAGACACAAAGACAGTCAGGAAGCTGGAGCACCTCCTCTGTGACAAAAGGCTGTGTTGAGTTTGTTGAGCCTGGAGAGGAGGAGGCTTCAGGGAGATCTCACTTCAGCCTTTCAATACTTCTGGGGGGTTTACAACTAGGATAGAGGCCATAAGGGATAATGGTTTTAAACTGAAAGAGAGTGGATTAAAGTAAAATATAAGGAAGTATTCAACAATGTGGGTGGTGAGATAGTGGCACAAGTTGCCCTGAGAGGTGGTGGATGTCCCATCCCTTGTAACTTTCAAGATCAGGCTGGAGGGTACTCTGTGCACCTGATCTAACTGAAGGTGTTCACATTCATAGCAGTGAGGTTGTAACTAGATGACCTTTACATTCTTCCAAAGCAAACTAGTCAGTGATTCTGTGAGTGATCTGTGTATATATATTTTTTTAGAGGTGGTTTGAATAGGGAAATGAATCATTTTCCAGGTAGTTAACCAGCCACATTCTTCCTCCAGAACTTAGAGTGATAAGTTACTACTCTTAAATCTACCAGTCTACCATCTATGCAATTCAGTTAATGGGAATTGTCCTTATTCAATACAAACTTTCAGTTATTTGTTGTCAGATCTTTATTTTCTCAGAGAAGAATATAAATTCTGGTGTTTAGTTGTTAGCAGTTGCTAATGGTACTACATTGAGTGTTCAGTGGATTTTACATCTTCTGAAATACCATCTGCCTGACTGTGAAATTACCAGACTTCTGATTTAACTACCCTTCCCTCTGCAGCTCCACCTGCAGAGTGCCATGGTGCTTGTTCATCCTGGTTTTTGCTCTGCATGGTGTGATAAAGATCTTTATCCTTTCTCTCCATAAAGATCCTGTCTTTTGCATCTTATTCTGCACTGGTTCATTATGTGCCATTGCCTTTGGGATTTTTTGAGAGCTTTATCAAAAAGCCAAAGTTGGTCAGGGCCCAGCTGAGAGAGAAGACAATTTCCCTCCACAGGCAGCATGACCTGGACTGCAAAGAGAGATTCAGCTCATGAACAGAGGTCAGATATTGGAGTGATTTATGAATCTGGGCTGCACACAAACACAAGAAAAGCTCTCAGGTTCCTCCCACAGAAATGTCTAGTTAAAAGTGTGTGTTTTGAGTTGCTCAGCAAGATGTTGTGCTGTAACTGAGCCAGTGCCTAGGCATGTCTGTGGAAACCTGCTAAGCCTTTGCAATCTAAGTGAATGCTTATAGTTAAATCATCCACAGTCAAAAAAATAATTTCCAGAGTTTAGGAAAGGTCATCTATTTTAAGTAAACTTCATAAAGACCAGATACTGCTGAGAATTTTCCATGTGTGTTCTCTGTTCATCTTTTCCCCCAGAGGCTGCTCCTTTCATAAGCATTTGTACTCATGCTTTTTATTTTGGAAGATTTTGCTGGTTTCAAATCAGTCCTGAACGAATGTGCTTGAGATCACTCAAAAAATCACCAGCAAGGGCATGAGCAAAAGTCAGAATTAATATTAAACTACAAAGCACAATGAATGCATCAGTAAGATTCATTCTACTTACAATGGACAACTGAGGCACAACAAGGGAAAGCAAGCAACAACAAAACCAAAAAAAATCCAGACAATCAAAACAGAAATTATTTGAAAACTGCCTAGGGCTGTGTGTGTGTGTGTGTGTGTGTGTAAAGACACTGTGTAAACAAGTGTCAAACAGTCTAGATAAAGTGTAAACAAGGATGAAAAGGAATATGGCCTACAGTTTAACAACTTATACCTTAATTTATAGCTTCACTTTAATAATCTGACAGAGAAATCACTTACCAGCATTTAGCCTAAATTATAATTGTAACTTAACCTAACTTCCAGATTTGCCATAGCATATGTGCAGAGGGTATGCAGGCAGACATAGTCAGGGCAAGATAAGGTTGCTGTGGAAAAATCTCCCTCAGAGCTTGATGAAAAAACTCACTTTGGATGCTTTTGAGTCTCCTGATGGGCAAAGGGCTGGGCCTTGAGGAGTGAGGGTGTCGGCCTAGGACGCATGGTGGTTCAGTGATCATCCAGGTATAGCAACCCT